ACTCTCCTACCGCGGGACCTAGTAGTGGAGGAGGTTCACAAAAGGTGTTAACCAGAGAGATCTCTTTGTTGGTGAGAACTCTCCTTTGGTCGGGAGAGATCCTCCTGATCTTCTGTTTCCCAATCTCTTGCCTTTTGCTTACCTCCTAGAATTTCCTGTTATACATAGTCATTTTTCGGGTGGGTGGGAGGATAAAAAATGGTTAGTTAAGTTAACACTACACCAAAGTACATCTTTTCTGTACGGTTTAGAAAAGTGTACATGTCATAGAAAACTACATTATTTTTATATGCTGCTTTGAAAGTATTGGAAATCAATCATGACCAATCTTTCTCCAGAGTACATGCATCAACAACACTATATGAGCTGTGCAACGTCTGGTGCAACAGTGTGTGTAGTTCAAACTGGGAAAATTAATTGGTGATATATTCATGCCTGAGTGATTCCTTTCACGTGAATACTTGTATATACATGTAGTGATGAAAGACTATTGAATAAGATCAATGTTGAAAACATTTTTGCTCGATCTATAATGAGACAACTTCGCTGGTAGTGTTACCTGAGGTATAAGAAGCCTAACGGTCAATTTCATAGGCTGTACAACTAATTTTGGAATTCTTCCCATCTACACATCTTCAAGACTGGACTAGTGTAACATGAAAAAGAAACAATTTCATCACTGACAAGATATCAATCATTGCTATCATTCTTCGAAATTTTTGGAACTGAGAATGATAAGATGAACGTAAAAAACTTGCATAAAAGTCGCGTACAAGCCATTGGACCATAATATGAGTGGTACAAAATGCAATCAGAATACAAACCGTGGTGTTGACAACATAGAGTGTTCAGATAGTCTGGTGGATAAACGTAAAATAAAAGATAACACAATCTATCTTGTGTAGCTAATACAGTAGCACTGAACCAGCTTTTTCTGATGTAAGGCCAATACGTAGTGCATAAATAGACCCTGTAGTCAGATGATACATGTGACTGTGAATAGTTTGTCAGCAAAATAATGTGATTAGTTGAATCAATGATAAACAGCTCAGCAATCAACTAAAGATGTCTCTTACCAGAATTATGCTGCATGACAACGTAGAACATCCGGAAGGACTCATTCAACTCGTTACTTATTCCCTTTTATCACTTTTTATTAATTGAGGCGATGTAGATCATTGAAGTCACAATTATGCGCTCTCATCTAAAGTTTTCAAGATTGATCTTATTCAATAGTCTTTCATAACTACATGTACATACAAGTATTCACATAAAATGAATCACACAGGCATGAATATATCACCAATTAATTTTCCCAGTTTGAACTACGCACATTGTTGCACCAGACGTTGCACAGCTCATATAGTGTTGTTGATGCATGTACTCTGGAGAAAGATTGGTCATGATTGATTTCCAATACTTTCAAAGCAGCATATAAAAATGATGTAGTTTTCTATGACATGTACACTTTTCTAAACCGTACAGAAAAGATGTACTTTGGTGTAGTGTAAAGAGTTATAAATTGTTGATAATATTCAATAATGTAATTAGCGGTTAGTGAGGAAGAATGGAGGATTACACCACAAAGAACGTTTTGTGCGGGAGGATGTCCGGACCGTCCCAGATTGGATGATCGGGTCAGCACCCCGGGTCAGGACACGTCATCGACATCCAAGGGCGGTTACATCCGCACAGCATCCTTCAGATGCTGTGCGGATGTCAAGGCCAGGACTCCGATGTGCCCTCAGCATACATGGAAGTCCTACCGAAGTCCAATTGAGGTTGTCCTCAAGGCACACCTCGGACATCTGCAAGGTGCTCCGCACTCAGGACCCCAGGCAGCCTAACTTAACACAAGTCCAAAACTCTCGCAGGGCTTTCTTACCTTCACAAGCTCGGTGCCCTGGAGAGGGACTTGCGTATTATCGACTAATTTTGGTGTACCAGCAGGGACCCGAGTAGATTCGCTCGGGTAATAAAACTATACAGCTTAATATCTTCTGTAGTTGAGACACTACATAAAATCTGAGGAGAGCAAATTGTTCAGAATTCCCAAATGAACAACTTTGCTATTCGGACAAAGCTCAACCAGTCCTCTTGCTCTTGCAAGAGGATCGAGAAGAGTTTTTTTGAGGAAAATGAAATTCAAAGAAGATTTTAATGCAGTTTAAACTACTCCAAACTGATTTAAATGGCTTGAAATCGATTGGTCGAGAGAACGTTGGAGCTAAGTGAGGCAAACTTCGCCATCTTCGCCATCATCATCGATTCCTCCAAATCAAAATGACAGAGCGCAGCTCCGCAAACAAATTTAATACCCAGGATGATAGTTCAGCTGGATGTGACCCTGATTCTGACGTAGAAGATGAAATACAACCGAATGCAAGTACCACCGGGCGAGTCACGTTGAGTCATCGTATACTACATGAATCTAGTGAAGCACTTCGTCAGCGGATTCGAGATCTGTTTCGAAAGCATTACAACCAAGAGGCAAAAGAGTTACAAGTTATAGTAGTTGAACTATTAGTCAGAGGGCACGATGTGTTCTTTCACGCTGGAACGGGGTTTGGAAAAACAAGGATTGCGGAGATCTTCTTCTGGTTGTTTGGGAAACGCAAAAAGCCGCTGTACATAGTTCTGGACCCTTTAGATGCCCTGGGAGATAATCAGGCATGCAACCTTTCTGTTTGAATGGGTGATGTATTTAAACTTACCCTTGTTTCTTGCCCCTCACGGCGAATCAGGTGACTGAAAAGCACTCTGTTGGAATCAGCTCATTCAATTGTACATCCGAGACCTTCACCGAGAAGACTGTGGAAGAGATTCAGGATGGTGCTTACACCGTCTTGTATGTTGTATGTTTGGTTCAAACTTACTTACCGTACCACAATCAACAACTGATATCCTGGGAGACCTGATCTGTATAGAGCCCGGAAATCTTTCTACATAATGAGCTCTTCAAGAAGATGTACTTCAGTCAATGGTTTCGCCACCGCTTGATTGGAAAGGTCATTGATGAAGCACATATGATATATCAATGGGGTATGGTTGAGAGCGGGAAAAGGGGTAAAGCGTGGATGAAAAGTGTACAGGATGCTGGTATTTTCCGTCCCTCATATGGAAAGATGGGTATGCGATTGAGTGCAACCGACAAAGTGCCAATGCTTTTAATGTCGGCTACCTGTCCCCCGGAACACCGTGATTTGATTTACGCCAATCTTAAAATCAGAAAGGAAGATATCAAGTATGTTGAAGGCGAATTAGCTCGACCAGAGATAACCATTCTGCGATTGCCAATGGAACACGCCAAATCAACTCTTCATGACCTCAAGAATTTATTTACCTCGAGGACTAAAGTTTTTGACAACCAGATCCCGCCAACTTTGATTTATACTAATACTAGAAGAAAAACGATGACTGCTTTAAAAGTTCTCAACAGAGCACGAGGAGTTGTAAAAGGCGAATACAACCCCATCAGTACCTTTGCTTGCCGTTTCCATTCAAATACAGGTCCTACAGATAAAACGGCTGCTATTGCCGACTATTCAAATGGCGTTTATCCAGTCATCACGTGTACATTGGCTCTAGGTCTCGGTCAAAACTGGACAAGGGTCCGTCAAGTCATTCAAATGGGGAGAGCCGACGCTGCGGCAGTTTCCCAAATCATCGGGCGTTGTGGACGTAATGGTAACCCCGGTTTAGCTGTGTTCTATGTCGAAAAGCATCGAAACAAAGGCAAAAATTTGGTCGCTGATTTCAAAGGCTTGACAAAGTTTTCCGACGACAACCTTATGGATGGTTTGGCTGTTACTCCGGTATGCTTACGAATTGCTTTCACACTATCTAGCTTGTACGTATTCCCATTTGAATGTCTAATAGGATGGATATTGGATTCTGATTTGTTATATACATCTACATAGAATCGGAAAAATTCCAATGAGTGAAGATGAGGAAATCTATGTACAAGAGAAATCAAGACAAGCTGAAATGTGTGCATGTCGCTGCTCGAATTGCGAGCCTGAGGCGAGTAAACTGTTGGCTGCAAAAATGAAGTGGCTGACTACTTCGAACTTCGATGCTGCCATCAAAAATCCGGAGGCTTTGGCGGATTTGGCACGTCAGAGGTCAAACGTTGATGCTGGTGATATAGCTGAGGATATACCTACGGAACTAGATCCTGATGCACCAATCACCAATCGAAAACCTAACGGCCCTCCTCCTCGTCGAATTGAACTGATGGAGTTGGCCAATCAGCTCACTCTAACCATCAAAGAACATCATCTCGCCTTGATGGAAGGTCATGATCGACTCAAGGCTTCCGCTTATCTTACCGACGATGACATATGGAGGATTTTAGATAGGATCTATACCATCAAGACTCATGACGATGTATACAACATCCTTGGCTGTGATATGCTACCAGGTGGAGTTGCTAAATTATTCAAGTGTATTGAAGAGTGGAATTCTAGTAGTCTGGGTGCTCAAGCCATGACTGAAATGCGTGCGAGGGAGGCTGCCACAAGATTAATACAGGCCGAGACTCTTACTAGACTCCAAAAGCAACACGAAGAGCGAGAATTGAAGGCTCAAGAAGCCCGCGCTGTCAAGTCGAACAAAAGAAAGCAACATGAAGTAGACCAGCTTGCAGAAACCGAAGCAAAAAGACAAAGGAAAGATGAAAAAGATAAGAAGAAGCAGGCTGCAGCTAAGTCAAAGGCCGATAAAGACGCACGCATTGCTGCAAATAAGCGAATGATGGATGGTTTGCACGCTGGAAAATCAATGTAAGCTTCGATCTTTTCCTGGAAGCTCAGTCTGATGCTGATCTGCTTGGTAAAAAATATAGAGAACAAGTTGATGCAGAAGAGAAGATTAGGTTCCAACATGCTGGCAAGGAGAACGAGATTGTATCTTCAAATGACACATGATTTGTCCATCTTAAATGATTCTCATATTTTTCTGATTTTGTTCAAAACACTCGGTCTCATTTAATAACATAGCACATAAATTATCTCATATCGTATTGATCAAAGGTTGAAACACCCTCTTGTCACAACTAGCATATCTAAATACACATGAGATGATAATGTACATATACATATATATATTTGAACATTTTATTAACACCTTTTATTACTCCGAGTCCAATGCGGAGTAATCATCGCTACTATAATGATCTTCTTGAAAGCCACTATCACCACCTGCACCTTCTTGAGCGTATGGGTAACCAGCTTTTGGCCAATGAAACCTGTCCAGTTTTTTCTCTTGTGCAAACTTGCTAAGCTTTGCAATACCTTTTGCATACATATCATTCGGCGTACCACCTGGTAGTGTTGAACCCGGTGTACAAGCTGCTATTTTGTGCTGGTGAGCCATCCGAAGAAAGTTTCTCATGGAGGAGTGATCGATGGTGTTGTGATGTGACTGATAAGCATCGTTTAAGCCCGAGCGGCCCTTTAGACGATGGAGAAATTCGCGGAGCTAGACAAGATTGGTAAACACACGTATCCAACAACAAAGAACCAAGCAACTCACCAGTGGAATGTTTATTGAATATAGATCTCTGAGTCGCTTGATCGAAGTGCCGGCTCCCTTCATAGGAAAAGATCCATTTAAGTAAGAATTTTGGAATCAAGATGTGAATGACCATAGAGAGATTATCGCACTGACCACATTATTATAAAAGAATTTTAGCCAGAAATTTTGTACCTCCAGGAAAAAGTCTTTAGCTACAAAATGTCCTGCGCGCCCACTTGGACAGACCAGTAAGTTGTATCTTATCATGTCGGCAACATCTTTTGGTAGAGTTTTGCTGAGTAGAACTATGAGGTGCGGGAGATAATTTGAATAGTGCTTCAACCGGTCCATTCCATGCGCCATTACACTCCAGCGCTTCCACATTCGGATCATGCGACCAACATCGCCTGCCGACATCGCACGAGATGCTTCAACAACTGAAGCGAAGTCTTGTAATCGAAGCAGAAATCTGATAAGTTTGTCGTCACTTTGAGCCTCGGCGTTCTGAATAGCCATCGAACCAAAATACTGATCAAATGTTTGATCAATTACATCCTTCATCCTCTCAGGCGTCATTTTCACTCGGTCTTTCCCTACGGTCTCCACGTTGAGCTTCATAACTCTCCTGTAAACATGTCAGCTAGGTCAAGATGGATAGTATGGGTGATATTTGACAACTTACTGGATACAGAGTGTGATTGAGCCTTTGTGGAGGCGCTCCATTGATCGGATCATCACAGTAAAATCCTTTTTGCTTGTGGGCTTGTCAAATTGACCACCTAGGGCTTCGATTCCCCTCCACGCGCCCATATCTTTAATATCTAGATGACTACCCCAGTGCTCTAGTAAGATAGCTTGAGATATGTTCCACATTACATGAGCAGCACCAAGGATCATGAGTATATGTTGAAAACTCTCAGTCCGAGCGACACAGGGATATCGTTCTTCAACTAAACTCAAAACTATCCGGGCAGTTCCCAAGTCTCCCTCCCAGATTTGCGCTCGGCTAGTGTACTTTTCTCTTGGTAAGCCAGTTTGCTGTAAGACTGCGTTGTATAAATTGCCTACTCCAGCGATCGAGTTGTCAGAAGCCTCCATCATCTTCAACATCATGATATCGGGTTTTTCGGCTGGAAGTTGATTGACGGCAGGTGGAAATCGGTACGGAATCTTTTTTACATCAATTGGTTCGGCTACGTATTTAATCAGGACTTGTGAAATTTGAGACTTCAAAGTTAATGTCCAGTCTTTGAGTTCTGTTGCTGATGGTTTAATGTCGTTCACATCTATCGGTTTCTGCTCTGCTTCGTTCAGTATGGCATTCAACTTTTCGGCGGTGAAAGTTTCTTGATTAGTTGAGATACCCTCAGGTATCTTTGGCCGATGTATATAACCCCACGAGGCGTTACACATAGTGCTCTCTTTCTCTACAGAAGGAGTGTGGACGTGTTGTTGAAAGTCGATGTTGTCGAGAGTGATGAAGGGAGCTAACCAATGATCTTCCCCCATAACATCAACCAGTTTTTTTTTCAACTCCTGTCCCATGTGCTCCAAAGCATGTATAGCAGTCCTCCGATTGACCGAGATACCTATATAGTTAAGGTATGCGTTGACTCTTTCAGATACGCCACAAGCAAGTAAAGTCAACCCATTCTCAACTTGAAGCGCGTTCACTCGTCGATTACAAACATTTGCAACCATTGAACATATGGTGCGAGTTACCTGAAACACAATGTAACAAACAAATCAGCATGATTTCGTAAAAATGAACTGAACAGTGACCAAATAAACACTGACCGAAGCACTTCGAGTCTTCACATTTTGTGCTTGATCTTTTGACTTTCGAAAAATATAACCATCCCAGCTCTGTACATATTCATTGTCCTCTCCTATCGTAGATCCTCCTTTTGCTTCGAGATTCACATCTGATTCATTACCTGAGTCTAAGAGGTTGATATCTTGATCAATAGCCGATTGAGGGTTTGTTGATTGGATAGATGAATTGCCGATCAAAGACAAATCTGAAGTTTTGGGTGCCAAAAAGTCTTCCAATGGCAATAACGCTGGAAGATGAGTTTCGCCAAGCTTCTTCTTGTGTTCAACCCGTTCCTTTCGTACATTTGCCTCACGCAATCGCGCCTCTTGATTATTGATAAAGATTGATTGACTTAGATTGTAGAGAAAAGGCATTGAATTCTCGAGTGTCTTTTCTCGTTCCTGTACATCGCTGTGGTCGAACATCGATGGTGTTACATTTGACGTGTTGATATAGAATCCATTGGGAACCTTGCCGGAAGGCGGATGTTGATTCTTGGCCACAATAACGGCCTAGATACACACACAATATCAACATTTATGCTTGAAGATGTGATCAAATTCAAGAGATGACCGACCTGTGATAGGACCCATTCTTCCCAAAAAGCCTGACCAGCCTTGGTCTTGAGAAGGGTATCTCGAATTGCACATAGTAATCTTCCGGTGGACTGCAGGCCTGTACCCAAAGCGGACCACACTCGTTGAGTTTTTCTAATAGCTGGATCTTTTGATAAAAGCCACGCTTCAAGAAAGCTTTTCGGAGTGAAATGATTGGCATCGATAACGGTCACAATGCGCTGTATTGCTTTTAAAGAAGCAGGTGTCGCTCCTGGGCCACTAGACGCCGCTGTATCTTTGGGAGTTTGAGACATTTGATGATATTGCACGAGGGAGGCGAGTTGAATAAAAATACGATTTGATGATATTGCACCACAAAGGCAAGTTGAAAAAAAGTAAAAGATATGACCTGACGTCAATCAGACGTACACATTTAAAGTGGAGTTTTTGACAATGATGTAGTTTGACTTTGAAATCACAGTAGTTATTGCCTGCACATCAAATTTCAATTTCAAAATCTTTCATTCTTTCTTGAGAAAGCTCAGAATGAGATATGGCGAATCTGAATAGACAGAAATGAAGGGGATGCTTGCTACTAGCTCCAGTTGAAATGAGCACGGGGGTTGATTGAGAGGAAGTGGGAGCATTTGCAGTTTTAAAAAAGCTCCCACCAAAAGTGGAATTTTGAACCCCCTGCTCGCTCACCAAAATCACCCGATAATACATAAGTCCCTCTCCCAGACCCCCGAGCTTGTGAGGAAAAAGGGTCTGACTGGAGATGGACTTAGTTAAGTTAGCCAGGCAGCTGTGACGTGACATCCCCCGGTTATCCCCAGTCCGGCTATGCTGTGCGGTGAATATCAGCTTTGTAGTCCCAGCAAGATACCGGAACGGTGTCGCTCAGCCATCATCTGCCTATTAATCTCTCCGATAGCGAATCAACCTTCTCATCCTTGCAATACAACACTTGGTACGTTATGAGATCAAAGTCTCCGTGTTTGTTCGTATAGTTTGCTGACAAACTCATGACTCTCTATGCCCATTTTTAGTTAAACTCAACTTTCCATCGTCTTCACATCACATCTCGGTTTTCCCTTTATCATGGCTTCGCCCAAAGCTATTGTAGATCTCTGTTAGTTGTTTTTGTATCTTATATCTTGGTTTCTTACTATTCTGAGACACATGTATATAGATTTTGAACGCACACCGATACAGGGTGGCTTTCAATATTGGTGTATCCTGTGCAAAGGTCGAAAAATGAAAGACACATCTGGTCATAAAAACTCGGAAACTCACAAGGCTATGGTGGCTGATGAGGAAGCATCAGAGGCTCGAAACCGCGAGAATGAACGTCATCTAGGCTCATTCCTTCAAAATGACGATGAGCCCAATAATGATGCACCCCAATTCCTGGGCTTTGAGGAAGATGATAACATAAACACACCTGAGCCGACTTCTGTCGGTTATACTGAGACGTTGATGAAGATGATAGCTGGCCTTTACAATGATGACGGGGATTCCGATCGCTCCAAAGATGATCAAGACTTTCCAGGTCTTCCTCAGCTCGACTTCGAAACAATTCTACGAAAACGACTAGAAGATATCCAGTGCAGCCAGACCGACTCTGTTTCACAAGAGTCAATATCCGATTCTAATGATGATACGGTTGAAAAACCTGAACAAACAGGTCATAATCAAAAGAAAGAATCCTTTGATTCTGACTGGTATCCCTTTCAAAAAGAGGTGTTTAATCTCCTTCCTTCCAAATTGAATGTAACAATGTATTGATTCTATATTGATCCCTTTTGAAAGCAGATCGCGGGGTTGGTTCTCTTGGGGTCAGGTCGTCATATTCTTCCTGAAAAGCAGTACGAGCGAGGTCGCTTTGTGTTTTGTTTGTTTAATGTCGTCATACCTGCATACAAGACTCTACAAAACTTGCAATCAAAATTGTGTACGCGCTTAGGTCTTAACGTTGTCAGATGGGAAAGTTCACTTCAAAATAAATGTTACGGACTGAGTATAAAGGAAATCATAGCTCAGGTAAGTGTTGTGTTGTTTTTAAATTTCCCTCATATTGTTCCGATCCTGGCTGATAATTAAATGTGCTATCAGGAGCTCGCAAATCCTATAGTCACAAAGCACTTAGTTTTTATTCCTGAGTACGACATAGATGTTCAGATCAACAGATTATCACAATCTAAAAAACGGCTGGAAGGATTCTCTCGGAGCCAGAGAGTACAAATGGTTCCTTCTCCTAACAGACACTTCTTCCTTTACGAGCCAGTGTGTCAAACTACAGGAGAGTGGATTGTGCCAATTTTCTTCTTTCAGCGGGCGGGCCAAGCTTACGCCAAATGCTTAAAGGCTTCAACTGTACCTCAGGGTGTTAATCATGGAATAAGAATTGTTGTTGATTCACACCAGGAGTTTGATTCTCCCTTTCTAGTTACAGTTTCAATTGATTCTCTTAGAAAAACTTTCATAGATTCAAAAGATGAAAATGGTCTTTCTCTGGAAGAACAATGTGGAGGTGTAATGTATCATACGTGATTCATTTTTACACTTCCTTCTGTTGACACTTCCTGTTTGGTCTGATCCTTTTGGTACGGCATACAATCAGAACGTAATTTTGATGGTGATCAGTACCAAGAGATACCTCTGCCCAACCCATGGCGAACTAAAGCAAATGGTAAAGTGATTCGACATGTCCCTATCACACTATATTCAGATGATACTTCCGGAAATGTTTCAAAAAAGTGGAATAAACACATGAGTTATTATTTCACATTATCCGGTTTACCTCCTGGAATGACGAATCAGGAGTACAACATTCCCTTCCTTGCTACCTCAAATAAATCAAGCGCTCTGGAACTTGGTGATCACGTAGTAGACGAATTGAAGTACTCATTTATTAAACAATTTTTCAAATCGATTAAAAACGCTTACTTTTCACTTGTTTCTCTACTTATGTAGCACACTTGAAACCGAGGGATTTTCCACCTACAACGAAATTCTGAAGGAGGATGTCCTGGTCATGATTGTTCCTCTCTGTCATCTTGGTGATTCTCCTATGCACGCGGAGATCTCAAACACAACAAACCCTTCAGTTACATTGAACCCTTGTCGGATATGTATGTTGAGTGTTGAAACAATTGCTGAGAAACGAGATGCTAAATATACTCGAGCCTTTGTGGGTTTAAATCAAGATGAGGTATGTGTATTTTGCGATTATAAAAAAAGCTGGATATTTTTGACATAGTTGTAATCTTTTTAGGGAGGACCTAGACCGCGAGATTGGGATGTGACAAAGGCACGAACCGTTGAACTTTGGAACCTTCTTCGCAATCCAAAAAAATACACTGAATTCTTGAAGAAAGCAAAAGATTATGGAATTTGTGACACTATGAATGTTCAATTTGTTGAGTGGTTTCATGAGCTACACCAAGATAAAGAATATTCAAATGAAGAGGTTCAAAAAATGTTTGACGATCTCAATG